AAAAAAAGAAATCATATGAGACACCCACAACGTCCTACGATCGAGACTTTCTAAATTAAAAATGCATTGTCAACAATTATAAGTTTAATGTCATGAAAACATCAGTTTGTTCAATCAAATGCAATACGAAACTTTAAAAACAATCGCTAGATATAGCACTTTCAAATAATTCGCAGATGAACTGAAAGATACATTACCGTTTATTATCTTAAAAGCCTGAAAGCTTAAATAAAAAAAGATAGAATAAAGGACTTTTCCATACATTCATACACTCTTAGGTTATGAAAGTCCAACAATAACTCACCAACGTTAGCAGCAAAATATATTTCCAACTGCTCTTCATCTCTTTAAACAGGGTGTATCCAACCAATTGAGTACCAATTCCATCGTATTTGAATTTTCACACCATATTCAATTAAATTTTTGTCTCGTTTAATAAGCTAGAAAGTAAGTGGTTCTTTACTGATCAGATCCTAATTTTATTCTGAATTTCAAATTTCACGTTAAATGATTTGACATAAAATCACATTTAACAATTTCTTTTTTATAATCAAACGCACATGATATTCTCCCTGCCATTTACTTGTTATACCAATTAAGTCACTGTACACTTTTGAATCACATTAAAAAATGAGCTAATAATTGATAATTTAATTCCTCTTTTTTACACAACTGAAAGAAATGCTTATTGTAACCGCGTTTCAAAACCGCAGCGAAGCATGCGTAGTATTTTATCGTTTTATAGTATGAATTAGTTCTTTCTATAACAAATATAGTCATAAATGCGTTACATATTTTATTAACGCTAAATGAAGTTTAATTCAGATCTTTTTTTAAAATCGACGTTTAATTGCCCCTGAAAATTAATTTTGATACAGAATTAAAGTGTTATTCAAACATTTCATTCAAACAATTATTTTTACATGAATTTTAGATAAAAGGGAAATTGGCATTCTTATCTATTATTTATTGTTTGATCTTTAATCTTCACTTTAACTATCGTCACTTAGTAGCCAATAATAAATTAGCTCAGTATAAAATAATTATAGACGCGATATGTGTGTCTAAATACTGAAATTAAAAAAACAACATCCTTTTTTGACTTTTAAACAGAAACGTATGTACATGTAACAGTTGATATGTATAGTGTATTAAAGACATACGTTCACACAAAAAAAATCGTATTGTAGAAAAATATATCTTGAAGTGCGTATATGTACATAAAATTATTATTTTTGATTTAGTCATTCATTATTTAGTTATGTACATAACTGCACTTAGGATAAACATAATTACAACAGAATAAAACGTTTAAAAGTAAGTTTAGGTTGAAGGTTCCTAGTTAGTGTATGGCTTAAGTGGCAAACAATTAAAAACATCTTTTACAACACATGTACATATATATCATTTCCTAAAGTGAGAGGTTAAAAGAATTGATCATTTATTTGATCATAATAGACTTTTCAGCACAACAAACTGACTTCTAAAACTATGCATTTAATTTAAAAGGTCTTAATGTTAACTGAGTTCAAATATTGCCAATCGTCTCCAAAAATTCCATTCATGCAATACACTAAAGTTATATATTAAACCTTACAGTGTCGAGTGAATCTCATCAAACAGACTATGGTTGTAAAAATTTATCAATTACAAAGCTGCGGTTTACAAAAAATGTATAAAGTAGTCGAGACGACTCTGTGTTATTTCAGCCAGCTAAGTGTTTTGAAATGAAAAATGACCTTTATCTTTCTAGGTCGTGTTGTATATTCATTCACAAACTTAAATAAAAAAAGAATACGGGTCGAGGGCCAATGCATACCAATCACCAGATCACCAGATCAGCAGATTTAATCAATCGTTGTGTAGGTAACGCTGATATATGGAAAGGAATTGCAAGAGCAATATTATACGTTATATTTATTAAGCACATTTGTATTGATGGTCACACTCTCAGCTTATTCTAATCAACAAAATACTTTTGAATTATTAATTGAATGTAAAACAAGTTTCATTGAATAATTTTATTTCGATCAATTGACCGAAAACTTATTTCCTATTCTTACTTTACAGCGACATTGCCCCTAGGGGCTCAAATGCAATCCTAAGCAAGGGGTTCAAATAAGCTTGCTACACTCTAAGTTTATATCATTTCAAACTCTAGTTATTGATCGGAAACCCTATTTTGTCTATTTTATGTTTATTTGACCTTGATCTTAGGGAGCCAAAATCAATCAATAAATTTTTGCACATTTATTGTTTTGATGAACATATCATTGAAAATCTCGTGACCTTAGATGACTAACCATAGGGGTAAAAAAAACGAAAATTAAACAAAGTAAATAAATAGATGAAATACATCAAAATAAATAGAATTTTGGCAATAGTTGAAAGACGTTGCAATCCGTTCAGTGAAAATATAATACGAAAATTAAAACACCTTAAAGAACGATTCTGTCACACATAAATGTAATAACGTTAGAAATAAATTAAAGCCGTTAAATAATATTTATTGGTTAATTATCAAAACAATTCATTAAAATAAAGAAACATTATCAAAAGGAAGTAATTAAAATGTATAATACTAAAGCATCAATGTATTACTTTTATGGTGATACTTCATAGAATCTGTCATATAAATGACAAATATTAAATAAAACTAAGTACATGAAGTAATTTATAACAATTTCTTTATTATCTAAATGTACTTTCTATGTTGGGGTGACTAAGTTACACGTGCTATCATTTGTTTTTCGGTTTGAGTATGCTGTAATACGTTCAAAGCAACAGTAACCATCGTAAGTCGATGAAAAAAAAGCATGTTTAGTTTTTCTATATGTTATCTTTTATCATTGTTACATCTGTTACATAATTTCAATTATTGTTGTCTGTTTCAGGTGACATTCCCAGTTTTAAAGGGACTCTACTGAGGTTTAAAAGCCTAAAAACATAACATTTGAATTTCTTACATAAATGAGCTGTGACACTTTCAACAGAAATATATGCAAAGATAGTTAAGAAGTATACTTTGAAATAAATCGAAAACCGTATTTTATGCTTTTCTGAGCCCGATTTGAGAGAAAAGTGTTAAACGCTTTTCATTTTGTGTCATTTTCTTACAATTTGAATAATTATTCTGGAAAAAAACGAAGTGCGCGAATGAACAAAGATCAGTGGTCTAAACTTACATCAAATTGAAAGAATATTTTCAGTCGCATCATGTCAAAAAACTTCAGCGGAGTCCCTTTAACAATTATTATACATTTTGTACATTTATAGACCCATGCTGCGCCTAATTCAGCATTAGGAAAGGCAACACAGTGCACATACCATACACGGAATTAATTTCTTCAGATATTATTAATAATTTAATCTTTTTATCACATGTTGTAATATAATAATGTACAATTATACAGTATTAATGTCTACAAATGGTTTAAAAGAAGGATTATATTCTCTGAAATCAAGTGTATCATTAGTATATACTTACATCAGGTTACACTATGCAGTGCATTTAAATGTTTTAACATCTTTTGTATGATTATCTGTTTATTTAATATCACAGTCAACTTTTAAAGTATTTTATTACAAAAAAACGACTTAAACGTTCCTATCAATTAAATGGTTATTCTAATCTAATTTTTACTTTTTTTTGTACTTTTAATTTGTTTTGATGATTACTTTAAATTAGAATTGACCACCCTTTGATTTTGTTGGACTTTTTCCTTGGTATTTTCTATTGATCCAATTGGCCATATGAAGCAATAAATGTGATTGGTACAGGTATGTTGCGATACTCGTGGGCATGTTTCCTAAATTCTATAAATGCCCAACCTACACTATTAAATAAGGGACAGTTATAGCATGGCATATTCCGGCTTCAACAACAACGACAAAAGGTGGCTTTTTAGTATACACATAGATAAACCACCTTACAAAAATGGTATAAATAATTGATGTAACCAGTTCACACTTTTATGTTGTACCACCGTTCAATACTTTTTCAACATTTGCTTCGTTTCTTTCTTCATTGATAGCTTATGCATACGTGTCGAATATCCAATCTAATGGACTAATCCTTTACTAAGGAAATTGACAAAAGTAGGTTGAACTGATTATTTTGTCATTTGAATGTTGTCGGCAATTGGGCATTGTCAATCATGTGGTCCTGATATAATTACATTCTCATGCCTTCGTTTAAATCAAATTATAATAAGTTAGTAATTACATGGAGCGAACAGTATAATCGTGTGGATACTTAACAAAAAATTTGCCATCGAAAAAAGGCTTTGTACTCACTTAACGTTAGCACATCCAAAATGAGAAATGGTGAGTGCTGACAGACCATTTGGCATTACTATTAGACTACCAATTGTTTTTGTGTTTTTATATCAATACAGTAAAATCAATTAAAAAAATCATTCAAATATCAAAATCGAAGAGAGAACTAGCATATCGATAAATGTAGCTTTTATTTAACACATTAACATTATTGTATAAATATTTGTTAAAACTTACGGTTACATCGCCTTGTCAGGTAGTTTAATCATATTTGATAATAAGTATTACATTCGTACAAAAACAACATAATTGTGTTGCAACTTATAAAGTACTAACACTGATATGAAATGCAATATTTGAGCCGTGTCACGACAAAACCAACATAATGGGTTTGCGACCAGCATGGAACCAGATCAGCCTGCGCATCCGCGCAGTCTGATCTGGATACATGCTGTTCGCTTACAGACCCTATAACAAGTAAAGATACTGATAGCGAACTGATAGTTTGCTGGTCGCAAACGCACTATGTTGGTTTTGTCGTGACGCGGCTCATTTTATGATGATAACATGTTTGTTAAGCATTAATGTCAGAAATGAGTAGGGAAATTCTTATTTCAAAATTGATTTCGTGTTATCATTGTACCATCTTAATACCGTTTGAACCAGATAAAAACGAAATTAATATATTAAAAATAACATTCATGAAAGAAAAAAAAACTTACCAGAAGCTGAGTAGTTAATATCCAAATGCACTTCATGTCAGAAAAATTCTTGTATCGTATACACTTAGTACAAATGCCATCGTTTAAAATTGTCTATCATTTTAAGAATCACAAACCAATTCACTCTATTTCATTGACACAAAATGGAAAGCGTATTTCCCCATAAGCTGTCGGATATAGTAATGTTCAGTTAAAATGTTTTTTACTTAAAATCCAGCGTAATTGAGACTTAGTTGTGATTTTAATCTGTCCGTTTAAATGCTTGAACATGAAGTCAAAGTTAAGCCTCTTTTCATAATTGCACGCACATGATGACCTATAAAGCCGTCACTGAGCTGAATTGAAACTATAATACAATTTGATGTTTTTAATGCAATTCTGAATTACGACAGCTGAAAGTGTTTTAACTAAAACTCAGCGCTATTCTTAATTGGAAGTTGATTAATAGTGATACATTGTAATAAGGCAGCGAATTCTTTACCATATTTATTGTAGTTCAATCTACATTAAATTATACCTCTGTCACGTAAATCATATTTGAGCGGCGTCACGACAAAACCAACATAGTGGGTTTGCGACCAGCATGGATCCAGACCAGCCTGCGCATCCGCGCAGTCTGATCAGGATCCATGCTGTTCGCTAGCAGTTTCTTTACTTGTTATAGGTTCTGTAAGGCTGCGCAGGCTGGTCTGGATCCATGCTGGTCGCAAACGCATTATGTTGGTTTTGTCGTGACGCGGCTCATTTTATTCTTTTTACTACTTTAATCCAGTCATGCATTATTATTATAATAATATATTATTTATTCTTTTTACTACTTTAAATCCAGTAGTGCATTATTTATTTGTAATATTTACTTTATTTTCAAAATATGTGCTGAATAAAATCAAAGGTAATGTAAATGTTATAATTTATCATTATGATCGGTTATCGTTAAGCTTGTTTTATTTGCAGGTAATGATAAATCTTCCTTATATTGATATCAAGTACCCTAAATTAAAGCCGTTAGTGCAAGACTTTTCTATCAAAAGATACTGCCTGATACCAATAGATTCTTAATGACATTGTTATGTCATGTATAGTTACAAAATCAAAACACAACCATTATTTACAACTTTGATAACAAAATGTTAAAACAATGAATTCATTTATGTTCAAAATTTAATATCAAAATTATTGTAATTCTCAGATCAATGCTGTTAAATTTGGGATGAACTTTAATTGTTGCCAATTAGGTAATAAATCAAATACCAGTAAAAACAATAAAATGTTAATACTGTCACCTATCTGTAAAAAATTACCTCATGCTTGATAATTACTTGATTAATTCATTAATTTATTGAAAACATAATGAAATATGATGGAATGTTGAAACAAAATCGTAAAGAAAGATATATGACCTTATCTTATACAGTTTATCAGAGTGACTGATCGTTCAAGGCTATTTTAATTACGAAAACATATGTATGATTAAGTGCTATGAAAATGCTAAAATGTGCCAAGTGTTAGTGTCTATTTTTGTTAAGCGTGTAATGTGGTAGCATATTGTCATTAAAAGTAAACTTATTGAAGAGATGAACTAAGATAACATGCTTAGCCAGTTTACTTTATTTTATAGAATATAAAGAAACGTCCGGGGTATAGAATATACGGTAGCTTTAATTATTGGGTCGTGAACGTAGCATAATTTGTATCAAATTATTAGATTATTAAAATACAATAAACAACAAATTGTGATTCTAATCTTTCATTTTCATTACTTTTAGCATCTTGAAATATGATAAAATGTTTATGATATATCACTAATGCTTTAAACTCTAACACCTGCTTGAAACGTTTATAAGATTTAGTTTTACTCACTTTAATACCTTATTTATCGCAAAGAAGCGCATTAAATCCAGTCATGCATTAATTATTTGTAATATTATTATACTATTATAGCAATTATTTTCTAAATTTCCAGATAAAACAAAAGTTTTATTGATGGAAGACTTACATCAGCTTATGATCGGGTATAAGTAACATAAAAGTATAGTGCAAATGAAATTAAAACAACGTTTCCGCTTCATGCAATGTGTCTGATAAAATCACCTAATGGTCATTCGTAACTAGATATTTTCAAATATAACTACACCGTTTACTTTTTCACTGCGTACAAAATGACAAATGTCATTACTCAAGGAAATGCATTGGTGAGTTACAACATCAACATACTGTTTGTAGAAGAATTGATTATAATTTCATATATTTTAATGATGTATCAGGAATTCAGCAAGGTAACAATGTCAAGGTTAAATAATTTAAAGATATTTGCGAGTCAGGTGCCAACATTGTTGGAAAATGTGGGAGAGCCTCTTGAATAGTTGCGATGTTTACTTTCAAAATTAGTTATTAATAAAATGTTTTCTTGAAGAAAGAATATTAATAATTGACAGCTTCACATCTGATTTGTCAGGGTAATCAATTGTCAATTTGCATTAACTGACATCAATAAAATTTAAAAGTATATTCACAATTGATCTTCACAATAATTTATTCTTTACTTGCACTTTTTTAATACATTTAAACTCGCATGCTTTTTATACATCCGTTTTCATATTAACCAGTATATAACCATATATACATGTATAAAACATACTATATTGTTGGAATATGAAATGGAAAATGAAACCTTTTCATCTTCAACTAAATGAAACGTATAAAACAGTTAGTAGATAACAATCAGATATTTGATATCTTAATTTGTAAGATCAGGCAAAATTGACTATAATTACTATTTGAAATGTATGTAAAAACATCATTTTAGGAAAATTTATACAAATGCCCGCACATAGAGGTATGCAATTATATTGAAACCAAATGCATGAACTATTATACACTTATTATTCTAAATACAATGTATCTTTAATTCTTTCTAGAAGCAAATTAAGGCAATCTTCACAGCCTTGTTTTCGAATGTATTTCCGATTTTTTTATATTAAAAAAACAACGATACAGCATCTTATATTTTGTAAAACTAATCTACCTTACTTATATGAAACACAACTGACTCAGTGATTAAACACACTGATTAGATTAGATTTTACCTTAAATAACTTTTGATAACAGCGACAAATATGCACTCATGTAAACATAAATATAACATCTGCTCGGCTACTGAAAGCTTTGAGGACCACGCAACAATCTTTTGACTTTAAAATAGATTTTGGCAAGAATTATAGATGCTAAGAGTATAAAAAATTATGTCGTTAACATTACTTTTATTTGTTGTGAGTGCTATTATCCTGTACATTTAGTGAAATATAATGAATTATGCTAAATAAATTATATCCTTCGTTATTTGAACCAAGTCGCACTTCGCTTATATTTCGATTACATTTACCTGATTTGTATTTTATAATATAAATTCTATAGGTCATCACAAAAAAATGTGCATTAATTATTGATAGTTTTGTTTTCTTTAAAAAATTCATATCATTATACTTTTCATCAAAGGCATTTTCTTTCTTAATCTGCTACTGATAATTTATCAACTCACTATTACAAGCGCATTATTCCACATTATTTCATAATAAGTTATTCATATAACACCCTTTTTTAAAATGTATCTTCTAGATATTTAAATCATAATTCCATACGTTTTTATGTATTAAATTAAATATTAGAAACAAATAAGCACTAGATTAAGATTAAAACACGATCTTTCAATTTCCATGTTTGAGGTCGAGTACCTCTCTTATCAAAAAGCAAATAATTGTAAATACTCTACACTAAATGTACAATGTTACAGTTATAAACATGTGTTTAACTTAACCATAGTGTTCTTCATTCAAGTAAACTAAGCGAATATTATCGTGATAAAAAAGCAAATTTTATCTTTCTTGACCGCGTTACACAATGTTATCATTTTACATTTAAATTTGATTTTAAGATATAAAAACACTGGGAGAGTCAATTTATTGCTCGCATATACAAATCACATATTAATCCATACTAAGTCCTTATGTATGTAACACTGATGCACTGTGAAGTAATTGTATTAAATACGTTAACTTATAGACAGCCAGACAGTCACCCCGTTACATTAAATCTACGGTATAAGAGGGATAGTTGATTTCAATTCAGATATTGCTTTGTTTGATAAATCTAATATATTTCGATACATTATATGTGAATATTGTTTTAGCTAATTCTTTATTTTAGCTGAAGTTAACGTTAATGAAGCTATTACTATGCGTTACAAGGATATAGTACTTAGGTTTATTTATGGGCTTATAGGCTTTCCAATATTGTCCATGAACAGACTCAATCAAAACCGAGCCTGCAACATTTTCAATTTTGCTGTGTTGGGCTTTCTTTAGGGATTCTGGATTCTGTTTTTCTCTATTTTATTCAACTTTTGCTTTGGTTTATTCGCCATATTATTTTTCTGAACTCTTGTTAAGTTGCTTACAACATTTCGATTGCGTTTACAAGAAGTTACTATGCTAAGAATTAATTGCAAATGAATGGAAATGTGGGAGACAAGTCCTAATTAAATCACCAGTTAGTAATTAGGATTATTTGGTATACACAATATTCATGTATTCTTTTACAGGGCCTACGCGCTAAGGGATCCCTAAGGTCATGTATGTATTCGTATGCACTCATTACTTTTTCTTGTTAGTATGTGACTAATATATGGAGCGAAAGCATAAATTGAGAAATTGTCATTTTTATTTAACCAAATTTTTTGCCAACAGAGTTTCCCCACACAATCATGATAAGTATGTGATAATTATATATAATTTTCCCCTTTGTCAATGTTTCAAAACAAATTGATGAATGTATTGCGAGTTAACACTAACGATGACCCACATTCAACTTGGTTTGACATTTAAAAAATGTACGTTAAGTTTTTTTGTATATTAAGCAATTGTTAAAATTAAATAATATATATCTTGAAACAAATGTATTTCGTCCTTTTTTATTGTGTTGAACATAAACTATATAATTATTGCTAGCTACTGTCCGATTTAAAAACAGATTGTAATAAGTAAAATATAAAATAAAGAACCAACAGATTGTAAATATGTGCCTCGCCTTAAGCTGATGGTTTTACGGAACCATCACAACTATTGAAGTGACAAAATAACTGAACGCTATTTAAAAACAATTGTATATTCCAACTTTCATATTGGTATTTCATATCAGAAATGGTGATAGTAGAGTAAATTAAATTTTGCTTTTGTCGTTTTTGTGTGATAAAGATACTTTTGAATTGTGAATTAGTCAACATTAAAAACTGACCGCGTAAAAACTATGCAATAAACATAGAGAGAGAATGCTCCTCATTCAGTAGGCATTTAGGAACATGCGTAGTGA